TGAATTCCAATAAAAGTTCAGAATGCTATAACAATACTTTATTCTTCTTACAGGCTACCAAAAGTAATTTGGTAGATAAAATCCTATAAATGTGTAAATTTTGCATAGTTGGGTCCTACTGTATATAGTGTTTGGTAATTTGTATATCTTTCCATGTAAAATTATTTTGGAATATTTCCTCATATTACTAGATCATCTTATAACAATGATGATTACATAGTATCAGGTCATGAGGTTGCAAGAAATTATTTAATTGATACGGTTATTTCTGATTTCATTCTATTATGTGATATAATTACATATGTAATAATATTAGTCACTTAAAATGTATAAAAGTTATAATAGTTCAAGGCTTCTGATATATAATTCTAAATTCTTCTTTAGAAATTCAGTAACATTTGCCTTGATACCAGTAACATTAAGAGATTATTTTCTGTATTTTATGTAAACTAGATAATATTAATTAAAAAAAGAAATTTCTCCCACTAGAAAAAAAATCTAGTTGTTATTATTAACATTTATTTTATTACTTTGTTAGAGTAATAGAAATATTTTGTAATTCAATTGTGATTGAGGTGATATTTGTCAAAACGTATTGTATGTAGGACTGAAAGGGTGACTCTTACTGTATGTTAGTGATAGTAAAAATATAACTAAAGTTAAAATTAAGCAAAAAGTTTCATATTTCACTCAGGTTATATATCCCTCATGAATCAGTTGGGAGATTTCCTTCTGGAAGTGTTCATGCTGGGACCTATATTTGAGGGGGAAGTCCCCTCTCAGACACTGCAGAGAGACTGTACGTACAGCGAAAACTTTCATGTATTAGTTTGATTCATATTTTACTACCCCAAGGAATCATGTGGTTACTCATAATTTCAAGGATATTAAAACATACAGTTCTACTCAGAAGAAATACCAGACTATTTTGAACAGATCTAATGATTACAATATTTTCTGATCTTCTTAAAACAGATAACATTTCTCTTCACCAAAGATTATAAAAGTTAATATTACCTAAAAGTTAAAAAAAGATATTTGAGTTTTACCTTACTTAGAAACACTTATGTAGACCATGCAGCTTTTCTAAAATTAGTTTTCCTAATGATCTTTGATATTTTTCTGATATAATTTACAATGGAATTTACTATACTTTTTCCATGAAAGTCTGTATCTTCAGTAATACAGTAGTGGTTGGCACATAATAGCCATCCCCAAGGTATTATTGAGTAGTCTGAGTAATCCCAGTGAATAGAATGCTCCTAGGAGATAATTAAATACATCCTGTTAAAAGTCAGAAAGCTATGGTACCACAGACTGTAATTCACATTACAGTATTTATCAAGTTAGAAATTTTAAACAGAAAAAAAGTAATATAAATGAAGGATATGTTCATTTTTTCTTTAGGTTTTGTTTATATTTTATTCCAAAGGATGGAGTAGTGAATGTAAGAATCATTAGTTATACTTTAAATATGACCTCACAGTTAACACTTACTTGAGAGCAAATCTAAGGAGATGAAGATGATTAAAAAGATAGTTTCCATCACAGCAAAGACAGTGTTTCTACTTGTGTATGTTTTAAATTTGGACAATTTATAATCTAGGTAAGAGCACAGACCTAAACCCCTTCATGTACCTCAAAATTTAATATTCTTATAATCACCACTTATGGGGTGAATAGTATGTGTGCTTGCTGTCAGCTGACAGGAAATCTTTCACATGGGGTCCTGACTGGGGCACCGCAGTACTTCTGGCATTTTATATCCTGTCAGTTGAGAGAAGATTAGTTTTATGGCAGAGTTTGTGTTCTTTTTAGTGAAATTGCAGTGCGTTAACTTAAGTGTGAAGTGTGGAATTAGAGCATGATATATTCCTTTTAAAAGGTTAGTTTTCCAATATGCCATAATGCCATAGTTAAATCTTTAGTAAATTGTTCATGTGCAACAAAAGATATGCTTAATGTTCAACATCCTCACATCCTGAATTTCAAAATGTATGCTGTGAACGATTTAATTTTTTCATATATGTCAGTCACTGTTTTTTCAACATCTATGATATCTCCATTCATTTTGTGATACAATTGCATATCTAATAAGCATAAGACTCATCCTAGCAAAAGCATTACAATTCACAGCTTGAAGAAAAGAATAATACAATGTTAAAAATCAAAGGCAAGACCTTATGTCTTGAACAAACCATCCAGATAAAACCTAGGCTATTTTATTCCGATAATAAATAACCCAATGCCTTCATTAACCTTTATTCTTTATTATTAGCAGTCTTGGCACCATGGCTGTGAGCTGAGCCCAGCAGTCTGTCCATGAAGTGACATTTTAGAGATTGGCAAAGCAATGCACTTTGTGTCAGAGTACACTATCTTCAGTTTTTGTCCTTCACAGCAGGAGAAAGTCTCTCTGGATACTTTTGTCCTTTTGAAAAGAGATTTGAGTGCATGTACACATAGAAACATGAATATAAGAATTTCCTGCTAATATATATAAAAAAGCATTGCTAATATTTTTATTTAAAATGGAAGATATTTGAACTGTGTGAGTTGTAATATTAGAGTTGTTTGAAAAGTGTCTTAACCAAATTGCAGCCAAAGAAAGAACTTAGAATCAACATAGTTGTTTGAGATTTCCTTAAAGGATGCATTTCATTCTATCATGATGTGCGAAGAATTAAACAGAATCTTTTCTGGTCTTTTCATTTGCTCTAATAATGTGGATTATTATTTACAGAAAGGAGATAAGCAAGACGTGGTAGCCACAAAAACGAAAAAAATGCAGCACTACGCAGTATTTGGAAAAAACAGAGAGATATACAAACAACATGCTTGGATCTTAATAATTTATGAAAAAAGGAAGAAAGAAATTTATATGTATAACAAATACCATGCATGTTAGTGAGAAAGCATATATTCGTGATGAGACTACATGTTTTTAATAAAAAAAACTATATATTAGACACTTCAGAATTGTTGCAAAAGATGACAGTATAGAATGGGAGTGCAAAATACATATAAAAAGGAATGATAGATGTAGATAGACAAACTGATAGATTATAGATGGATGGATAGATAGATAGATAAATGATAGTTAGCTAGCTAGCTATTCAGATAGGAAAAAATAGAGAAGGACCTTGCTTGGGCCAGATGATGATGTACCAACACATAAATTAATTCAGGCATCTTCCTGTGAAGTCCAAAAATAAAAATTTCAGTAAATTGACCTAGAAAATATTTGACCCTCTCTTCCTGTTTCCCATCCTCAATGTATTTATCAATAAAGGAAACTGCCTCAAATAGGTATACTTGTGTGCAGGGTCAAGTTTAGTTAAAATTATAAAATAGAAAAGTATTATTTGTAATTTAATCTCTTTGAGCCCTTTCTTTGCTTCTATGACTAGGATCAAAAAATCTAGTCTGCATATCCTGTTCAATGCCAAAATTCAGTAAATTATTTATTTTAGGATTGTTAAGACAATCTATAAAACTTTCTCAGGAATAACTGGGACACAAGAATGAGGAAAACCAGAGAGTAATGATATTTTGCTTAATGCCTAATACATATATATGTATATATACTACATATATAGTATATAGTATATTAATACATATTATATATACATATATATAGAGAGAGAGAGTATATACAGAACATCACAAAGTCTTCATTGTCCTAGGATTTATTTCTAAGGAGACGCCAACAATGCACAAATAAATCTATAGTATAAGTCAGTAGTAAGGGCTATGAAGAAAAAAAAAAAACAGAAAAGTCACAGGGAAATCATCTTAATAGAGAAATAAAGGAGAGACTCACCGAGAAGGTGACATTTGAACAGAATCCTGAATGACAACAAAAATTCTAAGTTCATCCAAGAATTAATGAAATGGAGATTCAAATATGGGCCTGTATTATAAAATCCATATTAGTAATATAGTTGGGTTTTCTAGCCAGAGACTCAGATAAACAAATAATTATTTTTCTCTAATTTAACATCAATTCTACTTTGAGCTGACATTTCAAATGATGGCAGCAAACTAAATAAATCCTCAAATAACAGTGATTTCTGACTTAAATTAAGTCAATTCAGTTTTGTAATTGCTCTAATATTCTTTTATTCTCCATAGGATTTATCTAATCAATAGCAGAGGTAAAGCATGGGTGGGGTATAGGGAGAATTACATAGCATCTTATGTCCAAATGATTGAAATAAAAGCATTGGTTCACAATTGTTCCATGCTTGCATTCACTAAAATGCATACCATTGTCTGCACCTCTGCTATCTTCTCTCCATCTTTTCTTCCTCCCTGTTTCTTTTTTTTTTTTTTTTTTCTATTTGACCCAGGGTACCCTAGTGAGAAACACAGAACTGTCTCAGTCTTTTTTTGTTCGGTTGTGCTCTATGACCTTTAGGGGCAGGAAATGGTAGATTGGGTTTCAAAACTCTCTGTCAAAACTGGTTTCAAAACTGATACCTCATCCTCCCTTCTGCTTCTACTTCCTTCTAAGAATTGAAGGGAATTTCTCCAAGCTTTCTCCTCAGATGCCCACAACAAAAGGGAAATTGTCACTAACCTTGTATATAATCATGTTTAGGGGAGTATAGCATCATTCCCTCCACACTGAAGTTAATAAGGAGGGCAGGATAACCTCTAATGCCATATCTTTTCAACATATAACCATTTTTCTTCCATTTCAAGTTTTCTTTCCCAGCTCCAGCTTGGAAAATCTTTGGTGGAAAATCATGTGGTGATGGAGCAACTGCCCAAGAAAATAATCTTTTTTTTTTTTTTTTTTTTTTTTTGTGGGACCCTCGCTGACGGCCAGGGAATGAATCTAGCACTGCAGAGGCTGCAGGCAGCCTAGCAGCCCAGCGCTCAACCTCTGCGCCACCAGGGGAGGCCCCCAAGTAAATAATCTTTCTTTCTTGTTTAATTATTAATTTTAACGTGGAAGCAGAGAAATTATGTCTTAATTTTTTTTTTCCCTTCAGGACAGAACCCTTAGGGTTGAAGGATGGGGCCTTGTAAAACAACTGAAGAAATTCAATGAAGCTTGAAAGAGGATAAGCAATTAAATGTTTCACACTTTACAGGGTGCAGATTAAAGAGTCTCAAGCCCTCTAATCACAAAACATACAAATCTCCAAATAAAATGTATAAAATATTACCTAATGAATGGCTGCTGCTGTCAAAGCCAGGAAGGAAATGGAAGATAACACACAGCACAAACTCTAAGAAGATGTATATATAGCTGATGGAGGTGAGGGGACTGTGGAAAAAGACTTCAGCCTATTCAGGGAAGACAGTCAGGTTAGCAATACCAGCCTTCTCTAGGTTTGGTGATTTTTTTCCTTTACTATTTCTTTCTTTTCTTAAAGATTTATTTATGCATACAAGAACTGGGATACAGGCCAGAGGTATGGGGGTAAGAAGAATCACCAGAGAAAGAGTGGGCTACAGAACAGGCAGATTGACTGAAACACACTGCTGAGGGGAGCAGAGGGTGAGGCAGGAGAGGTCCGCTGCACCATGTGGGTTAGCTCCCTGGCCTAGGATCAGCAACTGTTGACAGCTTCATGGTGCTGAGACTTAACCATTTGTGCCACCAAGAGGCCCCTTATATGCAGTTTCTGAGACATGAGATTGGTAGGGACTGGAGATGTCCAGTCACTGTTGAACGTGGTGTGTGAGTTTCCCATATTTGTGGTATCACTGATAACTCTCTGGGTTTCCAGAAAAATAACTCTATAGTCTGCAGAAATAATATATTTTAAGACAACATAACAGAACTTAATGTCACATATCCTCAAATTCATAAGATGCTTCCCTGTTACTTTTTCCTGTTTTCTGCTTATCACTAACATCTTCCAGTACTTAATATACTTTTTTTTTTTTTAATTCTTTACTGAGTCAATTTAAAGAAATTCCATGAGGCTAAAGATTTCTGATTTTTAATCACTGCTCCTTTCCTAGCTTCTAAAAGGGTTCCTGGCAGCGTAATAAGCAACTCCAACACAATTTTTTAACAATAAATGAATGGAAGGATGAGTGACTTGTGATTACGCATTTATCTTTCATTCATGCAGATGCACTGATGTCTATGGGACAATCCATGAGCCTGGAAAAGGCTTCATCAAAGAAGGAAATTGCCTTTCTTACAAATAAGATAATATGTAATTATAAGTGATGATATTATATAAAGTGTTAAAAAGGATTTAAAGGGTTGAAAATAAAATACCAAAAGGAAAACAGGAAAGAAGTTATTTTAAGGTAAAAAGAAAATAACAAATGACTTAAAAAGTGAGTGTAATTAATACCATTGTAAGATTCAGAAATTGGGAGAAAAATCAACAAACACATTTTCACATTTAGTTGAGAAATATAATAACATATTTTGTGACTAAGAACTTTGATATCATGTTTAGACACAAATCACACCTACTAGCTATGTTTTAACTGAAAATAAAATGGTTTACTTTAATAAAAATCACATGTGTTCCAATGTGGAGTTTATTATAATTGATGGGAAATACTATATGTTTAATTCACCTCTTGCTCATAATGTAATTTTTGAGCAGGCATAAATAATGTTCAGTTCTTCAGATCAGCGAGAACAGTAATCTTGCCTCTAGCATTAATTAATTGGCAGCTTGTAAAGTTGAGAGGCACAATTTCATTTATGTAAATATTCTGTTTCAATTACCCTGGGTTATAGATGAATGGTGAATAGCTTAGTTATAAGAAGAAATCAAGATGCACTTTAATTAATACATTCAGGTCTACTTCTGCAAGGATATAATAATGTTAAAGGAATTTCATGTTATGTATTCACTTTGAATTTATAATTTCTTTTTAAAAATGCTACTGTTACTTCATCCATGTAAACAGATTTTATTGTTCAAATCACTAATTCTATTACTTAAAATTATATTACTTAAAATATGATTGAATCCTTAATGTGGATTTCTATCAAGCAGCCAATATGAAATAAAATAGCCAAAACTTAATGAGGCCTTGTTATGACCCAGGATTATTTCCTTTATACATATAGCTAATATATATACATGACCTAATTTATACATGTAAGTTTATATATATAAACTCAGTTTTTAACACAATAGTATGGACATTAATTTAACAGATAACTGAGGTTTGTTAAAACTGAAGATAATTATCCCAGCCATATAAGCCGTGAGCAGTGGATCCAGGATTTAAATACAGGTAGCCTAATACCAAAACAAATTCATGAACTACTGTCATGAAAATTATTATAGTAGTAGCACCTATCATTTATATGACATGCATGGTGATAGATATGTCCTATATATGTTATCATCTCTTCATTATTTTACTAGACCTCTTAGAACAAAATGATCATGATACAGGGCAACAAGGGGCACTAAAACTGGCCAAGGACACTACCCAAACTGTTTGCCAGTCACTGCCTAAGTTCTTTACCCACACACACATTTGCCAGACTACTGGACTACTCTGGATTAGAGAACAATAATGAGGTTTATTTAACAAACCAGGGAAAACAGAGTTACTAAAATGGTTTCACCACACACAGACTCATTTAGATTTTCTTCTGCTATTTTCCAGAAGTTTTACATTTTACATTTAGTTCTTTAATCCAACTTGAGATTTTTATGAAGGATATAAGATTTACTTAGATTAATTTTTTTGTATGTAGATGTTCAGATATTCCAGAACCATTTGTGGAAGAGACTTTCAGTGTCCCCATTGTATTGCTTTTGCTCATTTGTCAAAGATGAGTTGACTATAATATGAGTGTCTTTTACTGGACTCTCTATTCTGTTTCATCAATTTGTGTTTTTTTTTTCTTGCAAATACCATGCTGTTTTGGTTAAATAGTTTTATGCTTAGTTAAGTAGTACCACTGCTATAAATTTGTGTTTTTCTCTTTTGAAAATGTGTTGGCTATTCTGCATAATTTGCCTATACACCTAAATTTTATAATCAATTTGTCAATATCCATAAATATTTTGCTGACATTTTGATTGAGATTACATTGAATCTATAGATTGAGTTGGGAAGAACTTCATCTTGACAATATTGAATATTGTGATTTATGAACAAGAAATCTTTCTCCATTTAGTTCCTTGATTTTATTCAGTTTTGTCAAATGGATATTTTACATATTTTTTAGATCATGAGAATATTAGATAACTATATTAGATTTATATATACATATTTCATTTTGGGAATGGTAATGTAAATGGTACTGCATTTCTTTTTTTTAGATTTATTTATTTATACAAGAACTGGGGTACAATCAGAGGTGTGGGAGGGTGAGAGGATTTACCAGAGACAGAGTGGGGAGCAGAACAGGCAGATGGACTGGAAACACTGCTGAGGGGAGCAGCAGGTGCAACAGGAGAGGTCTGCCGTGCCATGTGGGTTTCTCCCTGGCTGGCCGGGAATCGAACCTACACTGCAAAGGCTGCAGACAGCTTCACAGCACAGTGCTCAATCTGCTGTGCCACCAGGGAGGCCTCTTAATTTCAAATTTCATTTCTTAATTTCAAATTTGAGAGAGTTGTTGCATCGCTTACTATTTAAATTGTGTTGTTTTTCTATAAATTGCATTATTTTGAGAAGAGATAAGTTGCCATCAATTTGCTTCTTTGTGTGTCATGAGCTGTCCCCCTTCTGGCTGCTTTTAGAATTCTCTCTATATTAATGGTTAAAGAAATTTGATTCCTGAATGTCTTGATATGGTTCTCTAATGTTTCTTGTGTCTGAGTTTCATTTCATTTTGTGAATCTGTTGGCTTATAATTTTAAACAAATTTGGGAAAATTTTAGCCATTATAACTGCTAATAAATTTTTAAATATTTTTCTCTCTTTGGGAGACTTTAATTGCCATGCATATTTTGCAATTTGAGTTGCCTCGAATGTACTGATATTCTGCTCATTTTTTCTTCATCTTTTTGTCATCTGTGTCATTTCTAAGTCAGTTTCAATTAACCAAGTTTTTCTTCATTATGGATCATATTTTCCTGCATCATTGCATACCTGGCAAATGTAGATCCAAAGAAGATATTGTGAGCTTTGTTTTGCGCCTGATATTTTATATTCCTAAAAATATTCTTGAGGTTTTATTTATTTATTTTTTTCTGTGATGCAGTTTAGGTCATTGGAATCATTTTGTTCTTTTCAATTCTAGATTTTATGCTTTGTAGGTGAGTCATTAATCCCATCTCAACTTTTCCCTAACACTGAGTAGGGCTTTTCCTAGTACGTTAAACCTGATTGACAAGCTACAGCTGTGGGGTTAGTGTTGATGTTTTCCAGTGAAGTTACTGAAAACCAAACAAACCCATTTATTATCTATTTCCACTAGATGTTTTTTGGTACAATGGTAAAGATGAATAGATATATATATAACAAAAACTATGTAATCCACAAAGTCTAGACCATTAAGAAAAACATGTACCGGGGCTTCCCTGGTGGTGCAAGGGGTTAAGTCACAGCATTATGAAGCTATCCGAGCCACTGCAGCACGAGTTCAACCCCAGCCAGGAAGTAAACCCACATGGTACAGCCGACCTCTCCTGTCTAGCCTGCTGTTCCCCTCACCCGTGTGTTTCAGTCAGTCGGCCTGTTTTACTGCCCACTCTGTCTCTGGTGAATCCTCTCACCCCCCACACCTCTGGCCTATACCCCAGTTCTTGTATGCATAAATAAATAAGTCTTTAAAAAAAAAAGAAAAACATGTGCCAATCATAACCTTAATGAATGCCTCATGTTATACTGTTCTACTCTATCTTTGATATAGGCATCATCTGACCTTGAGTTGTTCCTCTGCCCTGAGGTTATAGTCTAATTCATATGTGATAACTACTACTAAGATGAATGATGGAGGGATAGCCTTTGCAGATCTCTGGAGTTCTAGCTCTGAATCATCTCTCCTATATAAGGAATTTGTCATGCAAATTTTAATCTCTTAGTGTTCCTGAACTCCCAAATCTGTTCATTCAACTCAGAAAGGTCTTGGGGATCTGCTTGAACTTCCCTCCCAACACTCCCGAAAGAGTTGTGGCTTAGAATCTTTCTTCAAGCAGAAAGGTGGACAATCATAGAGATGACTTTATCATTTCCCATCTCTCAAAAATTTCTATCCTTTTTCA